TTAATGGAGTGAAAATGGCTATTTTGGAATTTATTAAAATTGGATTTATAAAATAAAATTTTGGGTTGTTACAGATGAGGACTATGTAATGTTATATGATTGGTGGACAATAATGAAAGGAGATAGACTATCACGTGATTAGTACTATTCTACATGACTATTAACACTACGAGTGTCCCCGTTTGGCGGTAAAAGCTGGCGGATGCAGGCGGGGAGCGGGTCGCTCCGGAGGAATAAGGTTGGACTCGGTGTATAGGGTGGCACTAGGAGGTAAAGGTTGGAACTGTAATAAGGTTGGCCTGGAGAGAATGGTTGGAACAGGGCATAAGGTTGGAACTTGCTACTCATCTTTGATAGTGAATCCTGTCTCTCATGGTTTATGAGTGTGACTTATGATTGTCTCTTGATTGATTATCGTATGATGTATCTTGTTGTTGAGCATGTTGCTTCTATTGTTCTTGTTGAGTATTGAGTAATATGTTGGGATTGGTCTTTGATTGAGAGTGACTTTATGATGAGTCTTATGTTGTTCCTTCCTCATTTTTAAAGGATTATATATTGCATTCCAAAGTCTCAAATGCTTTTCTCTATATCTATATTATATGTTACTCAACGCGTAATGGTGGGTTACCAGCTTTATTTGCTGATGGGTGTTATCCTTTATGTTTTACATGTTTTGAGTAGATCGAGAGAGCGCGCTAGATGTGGACCGAGATAGCGTAGCTTGTTTTACTGTAGCTCTAGTTTTGTGGCCTGTGAGCCTAGACTTATGAATTGTTAGATTAATGACGGTTTTTGGTTTAGATTCTAGCCTATGCATCTATAGTTAGATAGATGTGACATAACATCTCCTGGTTTGTTTAGTTTGTTTCCGCTTTGCTTAATCTTAATGGTTGGATTTATCTTCATGTTTAAGCTTTTAAATTTTGCTAAAATCGGGATGTTACAAAGACTTTCAGCAACCACAAGCAAAGAGAGATTAGAAAATTTTGGTGGCAAGGCTAAGGGTATGAATATTTAACATGGAGAGTGAAAATTTTGACTCGAACTTTTGATATTATTCAAATAGACTAAGATGACTGAATAAAAAAAAAAAGTCATTAAAAATTACTTGTTACAAGATGTCATTTAGGAAATTTGGGACAGTAGAAACACTTTGTTTCATCGCTTTGGTGTTAATTAGTTTGACTTGTATAATGCTGCCTAACTATAATATGAACCTAATATGGCTCATAAGAGTTTCTCTGAAGTTGTGGCAGGCTGGGTGTGTTAGAGAATAACGAAATGATGAAATCTAAAATTATATAATTTATATCATCTTACTTACTAAATAGTAATGTATTTATGTATGTTTTATTTTTTTCATATAACAATTATTAAATTTATATATGTTATCATTTAAAAATTAAAACATATTAATTAATCATTAGGCATGGTGTTTCGCGCAAAGCGCGTGCCCATGACTAGTAACATTATATACATGAAGATCAAAACTTGTGCACTTGAAAAACAAAACTAATGGTGAATTCGCACTAATCACACAGGAAGCACTGTACGCATTTGAACCAGTATATAATATATATATATATATATATATATATATATATATATATATATATATATATATATAGGGATGGGATCAGGTGCGAGAGGGATTTCCCGTGCGATTGTGTGGTTGGACTCACATTAAGCATTAAACTGGCGCACTTTAAGTACACAACACACGCACTTTAAGCACACAAACTCACGCACCTTAAGCACAAAATTCACGCATCTTAAGAACAACCCTCACGCACCTTAAGCACAAAAAGTCAAAAACACACGCATTTTAAGTTTCAACAACTACTCACCTTAAGCACAAGACTCACACACTTAAGTACAAAACTCACGCTAAGTTTCAACAATTACTCACACTAAGTACACACCCACGCACCTTAAGTACATAACTCACACACCTTAAGCACAAGCCTTACGCACCTTAAGTACAAAACTCACGCACATTACTCATCGCACAACCGCATGAGAAACATGCACCCGCACTGGAACTTAATTATATATATATATATATATATATATATATATATATATATATATATATATATATATATATATATATATATATATATATATATATATATATATATAGGGATGCACTCAGGTGCGAATAAGTGCTCAGGAGGGAAATGCGAACAAATCAGCGCGCGACACGTGTCCAGATCTAATAACTTAAAAAAACGCGGTGACATTTTCGTAAATAATTGAACATCGAAGTGCAAGTAAAATCACTTATAAGTGCACCTACTTTCACCTATAAGTGCATGTAATTTTGCCTTGTTAGCATTCACTTTCCACAAACATTCATGCACGTGGGTGTGCTTATAACTATGTGTGCAACTATTTATAACTATAGGTGCAACTACTTATAACTATAGGTGCACCTACTTTCACCTATAAGTGCATGTAATTTTGCCTTGTTAACATTCATTGATCTGAGTTCAGCGGGTAGTAATACCCCTGAAAACCACTCGCAAATATTCATAACCTAGGTGCAACTACTTATAACTATGTGTGCAACTACTTAGAACTATATGTGCAACTAAGTATTGATGCTCAGTGTAAATTTTTACTTGCACCGATAATACATTTTACATGCACTTGTAATACATTTTACTTGCACTTCGATGTTCAATTATTTACGAAAATGCCACCGCATTTTTAAAAAAAATCAGTGTTTCTCATCCATTAGATCTGGACACGTGGACGGACAGAATCCATTCCTATTTTGCGTCTGGGCGAAGCATTCACACCTGAGTGCGATTCTATATATATATATATATATATATATATATATATATATATATATATATATATATATATTACCGTACCATAAAACACAAACTTATAAAAAGAAGTCATGACTAGGTTGTTACTTGTTAGGCATAGCTAGGAGAAATTTTCCCACCAATTGTGCTTTCTATCTCAATCTCTATATATATCTAAGCATTTCAATTTCAAGTTATGAATCAATGATTATAAGTAATGATATTGATTAAATTTCAAATATGTCCAAATATGAGGATCTTGATATAGTATCTCATCTCAATCTTTCCCCTTCCTTATTGATAATCTTTTTGCCTTTTATGGATAACATATATCACTTTAAGAGGTCTGCATTTCTCAATATGACAAACCCCCTCAAATATCTACCCAAATTAGGTGTTACTCGAATTATGAGGATTGCAAATTATGTCATACAATTTTCAAGTTGATTATATTTGTTTGAATAAAAAATTTATTACTTCTTTATCATGATTGGAGTGGTCAGAGAATTAAGTTTGAAGTTCAAATTTATATTTATTTGAATAAAATATTCATTAAGTTTGAATTAAATATATATCATACTTATAAAATTATTGATTTTAAATTAAATACGCTTTCCATCATCAAAAAAATTCTCTTAAAAAAAGCATTTTGTTTTTAATGATGAGAAAAACTCGTAGTCACTATTCAATGATGTACACTGAGTAAACTCTACTCATGTGTAATGACTCGTAAATCACACAAAAGAAGTAAGCTGCAATGAGTAGACTGTGTACAATGGAAAAGTGTTGGCAAGAATCAAACTCGTAATTTAAAAAAAAAAATGTTTAAAAATGATAACTTTTTAACTTTTATTACAATGATAATGTATAAAAATAATGTGTAGTGTCTATTATATTTTTGTTAAAAAAAAAAAAGAAAAAAAAAAAACACAACATCTCGAAACGCACTAAAAGGAAATAGTGAACAACTTTTACAAGGTCAAAGAAATATTCAACATCATAGTATATATTGCTCTGTAAGTTTGTAACCACCTTTAGATTAAATATTTTTTAAAAAAAAATCCATAGCCTTAAACTCATTTTATACCAATCGATCGATATATAACAAAAACAAACATACTGATGAGTATAGTTAGGATACAATGGAAGTGCTCGCACGAACTTAGCTTATTAGTTCAGTAAGTAATATTTGGAAGAATGAAGGATAGTTTGAAAGTGTGGGAGGATTCACCTTATGGCATTCACCCTCTTTTAATGACAAATATGTTTGGAATAACTTTGTCACGATTTTCAAAACAAGTATATCATAAAAGATAAAGGAGACCAACAATTTCCACCACCCCGAACTTGAAATCTAGTGAAGGCCGGTAACAACCCACCAACTTGACTAGGGTTGCCATTAACAATAAAACTCATTTTATTCATTAGTTATCACGAATTGACTGACTTTACATTGGGTTTAAACTTTAAAAAACCGCCCCGAACTTGAAATCTAGTGAAGGTAACAACCCAACCAACTTGACTAGGGTTGCCATCAACAATAAAACTCGTTTTATTCATTAGTTACCACGAATTGACTGACTTTACATTGAGTTTAAAAACCCGTCCCGAACTTGAAATCTAGTGAAGGTAACAACCCAACCAACTTGACTAGGGTTGCCATCAACAATAAAACTCATTTTATTCATTAGTTACCACGAACTGACTGACTTTACATTGGGTTTAAAAACGCGCCCCGAGCTTGAAATCTAGTGAAGGTAACAATCCAACCAACTTGACTAAGGTTGTCATCAACAATAAAACTCATTTTATTCATTAGTTATCACGAATTGACTAACTTTACAACAATAAAACTTTTTTTATTCATTGGTTGAACACGCTCTTGGTTGGTCCAATCGCACATGGTCTGGGCTCGCTTCCAATTTAGAAGAGTCACTTCATGCCACTAGAGCACAAGGTCATTGGCGATCATAATTGGGGATTAATTTGTAAATTTTATAAAAATTGACTTTTTTCTTTTTTAAAAAGTACAATTTTTTTTTGGTTGGGGGAGTTGAGAGAGCAATAACGGCTGAAGATTCGGACCTTTGATGGGTGTGACTAACCAATTGAACACAGACAAATGAGAAACTTTGGCATATCTTTTATTACTCTTTTTTTTTTTTTCGCTATCTTTCATATGATATGGAGTCTGCGCACCAAAACAACAATAATAATTTTTCAGAAATTCCATAATCCCAGATAGCAAAATCTCACAGGGGGGGTGGGCGGATCTCGGCCGTCTGATCAGGAATAACGAACGATCCTCTCAAGATTACACGTGGTACCCATCTTTCTCTTCTTATTTGCTTTCGTGCATGGAATTCTCCTCCAACTATAACACCCAAACAAGAAGTATGATGAGAGAGAAAAGTGTGATGAGTAGAGGGAGAGAGAGGGGAGAAGTAGGGTGGGGTGGTGGAGTAGCTTAGAGGAGGAAGAAGAAGAAGAAGAAGAAAGGGTCTCTGGTTTTGTTTGATTTTTTTTGCACAAATTTTTTTTTTTTCCAGTTTTTTTGGTTTTTGCTTTGTTGAAATTCGTGGGCATTTAGAGAAAAGTGGGTCTGATCTTTCTGCTTTAATCTCAAGAATGTTTCCAAATCTGACTCTGTGATCTGTGTCCACCAATTCCCTCTTGCCAGATTTGAGCTCTCCCAAAACTTAGGTCTGATCTGCTGGGCTCTGCTTTCTCTATCTCTCTGAACTGGGATCATCAAAATCTTGCTCTCAGTGTCCCCAAGATTTGAGCTTTCTCCCAATTCCCCCATTAATCTTGGTGGGATTTCCCAAACTGTTTCTGCTAAAACTTTGCCATTTTTTTTTGGTTTCTGAATCCGGGTTTTCAGTTGAGGGGATGATGAAATTTGGTGGGATGGAAGAAGATCAAGAACTGATGAAGTTTGTGTGCAAACAGTGCTACAAGAGGTACCCTTGTGGGAAGTCACTGGGGGGGCACATGAGGTCTCATGTGGTGGCAAATTCAGCTGAAATGGTGGATGAGAAGGGGGGTGGGGGTGGGGGTGGGGGTGTGGACCCCACAGCCATGAAAAGAGATCATCATCATCAACAAAGATTTGAGCATGGAGGAGGGTATTCTAGCTATGGTCTGAGAGAGAATCCCAAGAAGACTTGGAGGGCTGTGGACTCAACTTCCCCTTTGCCCCAAGAAAAGGCCTGCAAGCAATGTGGTAAGGTGTTTCAGTCTCTGAAAGCCCTGTGTGGCCACATGGCCTGCCACTCTGAGAAGGAGAGGGGGGGTGGGGTCAAGGATGATCAGTCATGGTCCAGTGAGAGCAAGAAGCTAGAAGAAGAAGATGAAGAAGAAGAAGAAGTGGATGATGATGATGATGATGATGATGATGATGAGAGTGATGATGTTGATGATGTTGATGATTCTGATACTGAACCTGAGGAGGACCAGATCCCAACCACCACAACAAGGGACAACAACAACAACAGATCACAATCCACCCATCATCCTAAGAGGTACAAGAAACTTGTTGTCAAGTCTTATTCCTTATCCTTAACTAACAACAATAGTATTGGCTCATCATCTGTGTCTGAGATTGATGAGCAAGAGCAGGAGGAAGTAGCCAAGTGTTTAATGATGTTGTCTAAGGATTCTGGGAACTGGTATGGTTCAGTTGTTGAGTTTTCTGACAATAACTCTGTTGTTCTTGAGACCAAATCATCATCCATTGACATGAAAACTTCTAGAAAGAATGGCAATGGTAATGGGAATGGTAAAGGGGTTGTCTATAAGGTCTGCAATAGAGACAATAATGAAACTCAAAACCCCCCAACCAAGAAAATGGGAGATAATAGGAAAGTGATGAAATCTAGCATTGTTCATACTGAGATGGCAGAATCCCAGAGCTCTGATTCTGGGTATTTCTTAGGAGAAAACAAGGTTGAATCGGATGTTTCTGTTAACGGGTTTCTTGCCAAATGTAAAGTCTTGAACAGAGTAAAAGGCTATGTGGAGCCAAGGAGGGGGGGAGTGGAGAAGGAGTATGAGAATTATGATGATTTTGGAGTGGCATCGAATTCCGGGAAGCAAAAGAGGACGAATGACACTTCTTATGATCCCGAAATGGAGACTGGATCGTATAAGAAGACGAAGGTTGTTGCTGCTTCTTCTCCCGGGACTAATGCTAATAAGAAGAAGTACGAGTGTTTGAATTGTAAGAAGAGTTTTAACTCTTATCAGGCTCTTGGTGGGCACAGGCCTTGCCACAAAAAGACGAATCCCGATATGGAGTCGGGTTATGGGACTGGCGAGAATAGCTTAGATGCTGATGAGACCTACAACCATGGGAACGGTGGGAAGATTAGGGATTGTTTCGGGAGCAAAAAGGCGGGGGCGACAGAGAAGAAGGTTAGGCCGAAGAAAGGGAAGGGCCATGAATGCCCATTCTGTCATAGGATGTTCAAGTCTGGGCAGGCTTTAGGAGGGCACAAAAGGTCACATTTCATTGGGGGTGCTCAGGTCATCAATGGCAGCCACCAAACTCCAGCTGCCGCCAAGGAAGAAGCGGCCGATTTGCTCGATCTCAATCTTCCTGCCCCGGTCGAGGACGAAGATGATGAGCAGTTGATGGCTTGGTAGTAGGATTTCTAATAAGAAAAGAGAAGAAAAGAAGAAAAAAAGATGATCACTTTGCTGTTGGGACAATTTCCAATTCAATAATTCTTGATCTCATGCTGGGATGCATGCAAATTTTTGCCTCAAAATCAAAGATTTTTCAACAACCACCCTGCATTCTTGCAGTGTTTATGATGATGATGATGATGTGCAAATGGCTCTTAATCTACCATTCCCATCACCCATTTTTGCATACTCCAAGAATGCCTCTGTTTTTACTGTTTTCATCCATTTGGTTATCTTCTGCAGATAATAACATTTTGTCCAAGCTACTGGCTTTTCTTGTATAGACCATTACACCTTAATTACTCAGTAATTCTTTTGTTTTTCTCAATTGAAGATGCTTAGTTCTCTGCCATTTTCTTGTCTTTTTCTATTAATTTCAAAATCGGAAAGTCCCAAAGGTATGCTCTGAGTGAAACCCTTTTGTGACCTAGTCGTTAAAGGACCACAAGGAGGTAAAATTGAGTAGATTGTCGTTAAAGGACCACAAGGAGGTAAAATTGAGTAGATTGTCCATCGGTGACCGGTTCAAACCAAAAACGTCAATAAACAGCTCATTGTGATCTTAATCGGCAAACAGCTCATTGTAATCTTAATCGGCAAAGGATAAGATCACAAGAAGGTAAGGTAAGATAAGTTTAGGTTGTTCACACCTAAAAAAAACTTTGTGAATTGTTATATTGATTATTTTATTAACTTAGTTGGGATTGGTCACTTAATTTCCAAATCCAAATGTGGCCTTTCTTGAAGTTGACAGACACGTTTAGGACACCTACAATTGGTGGTGGCGCCTGCAACATGGTCACTATGCTTTTCTTTTAGCAGAAAGTCATAATCCATAATTTGTGAAACAAATGGCACCTATTGACCGGTAAGAGAAAGGGAAAGCTCAAAAGACTTCACTTTCAATCCATTTTTGATACTTCAAATAAATAAACAAATAAATATATCGGTCTTTAATTATAAAAGCAATACAATGTCCCTCTTAATTTTGCACCAAATGAAACATTTTAATGAGCTATAAGCTCTACTTGGTAAAGCCTAGGGACCTTAATGTAAAGCCTAGGGATCTTAAAATAATAGATTATTTTGAAATGTTCCTCCAAATAGCGGTTGAAAATAAGTTATTGGCTTTTAACATTTTCTCTCCCTTTTATATTAATTATCCTTATTAATTTACAAAAATGACATATAATATATAGTTATTGGCTTTTAACATTTTCTCTCCTTTTTATATTAATTATCCTTATTAATTTACAAAAATGAGACTCGAATTCACAACCTTTCAAATGGAAGTCCAACCCGGGTATCATTAGACCACATAGTCTTGGTGACATAATATATCCTTATTTATTAGAATATTATATCTAATGAATGGATAAGATTAAAACAAATAGATAATATGAAACCATATATTAAAATATTTCATCTTTAATCTCATTCAAGGCAAATAGTGTGTATATATAGGGTATCCCCCTTCCTTATAAAAATATTTCATCTTTAATCTATTTCATAACATATTTTAAAATACACAAAAATTAAATCTAACATTGCTAGCTACTTTATTATGAGATGCTAAATCATAAATGTGAAATATATATATATATATATATATATATATATATATATATATATATATATATATATATATATTTAGACTTTAAATTACAATGTATATCAATATTTAAATTTGAATATATAAATTTATCAAAATGTTCTTTCACACTTATCATCTTATTATTCAACAGCTAATTTTACTAAACACATTAATTTTAATCAATTAATTTATTAGCTAGTAACTTTTTAGCTTCAGCTATTAGCTTTTTAGTTTTTCAGTTTTCAACTTTCAACTAGTTTATAAGCTATGCATGTCAAACATAACCAATTAATGTAACAATTTTTTAATCCATAATGAGGGAAATACACCCGATGAACATGCCAAATCATTTAAACTAATCCATGGGACTTAGCTTGTATCCTCGAGTTTTTAGATTGTCACATTGATCCATTATAATTATATAATTTGTCAATATTTTTTCTAGATACAATTTAACGGGTCAATTAATCCAAAATAAGTTCATAAGTTTTGTTTTATTAGCATTCTATGAGATATGAATTTGGCCATGTACAAACATTTGAGATATATAAGTCAATTGAGACCCATCTCCCGATTTATCTCCTCCACCAATATCCACTTTAAATTAATTTTTAAATCAATTTTTTTTCAATTAGATTGAATGAGTTTGAAGTTTCAAATGATGTTAAAAAGTTATTATGGTACCTTCGTTTGAATCTGTCTAAACTTTCCCTCAATAATCGCCTAATTATTTTATTTTCCTTATCCTCATTTTGATTTTGTAAATTCTTCCAAAAGGCTGAACCCAACCCTAAGGGCCTCCCACACCCCGACCCGACAGAGCATTTGGGAGGATGTAAATCATGGTAACTCAACTGAACATGAACCACAGAGGCTAGACTGGTGCTCACTGCGCACAAGGAACCGCCCTCACTTTGAGAGGTTGCTCCCACACTGCCGCTGTGATTTTGTAAATTTATTAGATTGTAAGTTGTTTATTACATTAAATTTTGATTATTTAAAATCAAGTTATTATTAGTCAGCAGAAGCTTCAAATAGTCCCATCTATCACTCGCAAGTACTCAATTAGCCACTTGTTTTAAAATAAGATCTAATTGGCCACTCGACGTTTTCTGCAGGTTTCCAACTTTCCATCAGGTAACCCTTTAATAATAATGCTGACATGGAATTTAAATAAAAAGAATTTGATGGCTTGTTGCGTCGTTGACTCATTTAAACCCAAAGAAAATCGCTACACTTTCCCTCTTCATCCTCACCACCATCACTGCAGTTGTTGCCGTCTGAAAACAAAATCGACAGCTTCTCTTGGCTTTGCACTACCAGTTAGGCTCTCCCCTGTGTGCTCGTGAAAGGCTGGTGAGTGATAGCACTATTGACACTCTGCACATTCAAGAATTATGGCGACGAAGAGTTTTAGGAGGGATGCTAGTGAGCTCTACAGCAGAGCATGAAAGGACATGGTAATAGACATATAAATATCATACAACCATAGAAAGTTTCAGCAACCGCATACTAAAGATATTGTGGGATTACTTGAGCACACAAGTAACAAGTGAGAGGCAACAAACAATTTTCAGATTTCATTTCGGCAGCCACGATGATGGTGGTGATGATGAGGAGGGAGAGAGTGGTGATTTTCTCCAGGTTTGAATGAGTCAACAATGAAACAAATCATCAAATTATTTTTATTTAAATTCCATGTCAGCTTTATAGATGGGTTACCTAATGAAAATCTGGAAAAAATGCTAAGGGAACATAATTTTAAAAGTAAATATGACCAATTAGATCTTATTTTAAAACAAGAGGTTAATTTAGCACTTGCGAATAGTAGATGTAGCTATTTGAAACTTCTGCCTTATTAGTCCTTACTTAGCTAAAATCTTTCTTTTTTTTTTTAATCGAAAGAGATACCCAAAATAAGGCTTAGGGGCCGTTTACTAACTGGAAATTTCTGAGAATTTCTAGAAACTGGAAAATAGAAAACAGAAACATGTTTACTAGCACAGCTTTCCATTTTTAAAACTGAAAATAATTTCTACAAATTTCTAGAAAACTGGAACACTCTTAAAAACTGTTTTCTAAAAGAAAAACATAATCATCTATCATCTATTTAGTTATATGTCAATATAACCACATTACTATGATTACATACATTCATTATCATCTTATTTTACTTATCACTATCTTCTATCTTTTCTACTTACATTACTTATTTAAACATAACTTAGTTGTTTACACTTTAAAGTTAGAATTATTTACATTATCAAAATTAAGAATTAAACTCTATATAACGTTTTAGAATTTGATTGAACTCAATAGATTATTAGTTCGAATATTTTTAATTATGTTACATCGTAATACAAGTTCGGTTCAGATATCAGAAAGCAGAGAATGAAAATTGTTAGTAAACAAGTTTTCTAAACAGAAAACATAGAATAGAAAACAGAAAATGAAAACTAAAAAATTAAAAAACAGAGAACAATTTTCTGTTAGTAAATGGACTCTAGATTTTTTAACTTTTTTAAACTTTGTTTTATTTCCTCTTCCCTCCCCATTCTCTCCTACTTAAGCATGCAAAAACTAAGAAAAAACCCTCAATGAGGTTGCTCTTACCGAAAATAGTTTCTTTTAACAGTTACTATTTCATTTTCAAGATTCAAATATACAATTTTACATATATAAAAAACCATGAAAATATGTTAAATTATTTTCATTTTGAACCACTCATCATTAATAAAGGGCAAAAGAGAGAGAGAGAAAAATATTACTCCGAATAAATGAAGAAAAATGGGGATGACCAAAAGGGTAGAGAATACAGTAGGAGTAAAATAGAGTACAGGGCTATTTTTGGTAGCATAAAGTATGTCGTAGTGCAAAATTAGTTGGGCCGTTATGCTCAAAAGGAAGAGGGTGGGGCCCATTAACTACTTATGTCGGACAAGGCTCAGAAGTGGGCCATCCCAATCCTCAGGTCAATACAGGATTTGATTCTGACTGTTCTCATTGGAGTAGTAGAGATAGTTATTTTATTTTATTTTATTTATTATTATTTTTATGTCACCTACTATATACAAAATTTAATAATTTATATTTAAAAAAACTTAATTATATATAGAGTAAATACCCAAAATGGTCCCTCGACTATAGCTAAATTCACAAATTGGTCCTCAACTTTCAATTTCAACCAATTAAGTCCTTAACTTTATAATTTTAACACAATTTGGTCCTCTGTCTATTTGACCGTTTGTTGACAGTGATTTTTGAGGATATATATGTAATTTCATGGTTTATCGTCGATTTTTTAAGGTTCTGGTTGCATTTCCAGACCGCACTGTTACATTTGAATTCACTGCCGAAAGCAATCTACCAAATCTGGTCGCCTTTCTTCATCCTCCCTTTGGATTCAATGTAGTTGAGTTCGTACCAGAGCGAAGAAGACAACGTGTTTCCGAACCAATGCAACGTCATCCTGGAGGCCTCCACGTGCTTCGACGAGAGCTGAAGATTTTTCTGGAGATCGTCGATCACAGTCAACAAACGGTCAAATAGATGGAGGACTGAATCGTGTCAAAATTACAAAGTTAAGGACTTAATTGGTTGAAATTGAAAGTTGAGGACCAATTTATGAATTTAGCTATAGTCGAGGGACCATTTTGGGTATTTACTCTTTTATATATATATATATATATATATATATATATATATATATATATATATATATATATATATATATATATTATTGTTTGTTGAGTG